TTGAGTTTAGTACGCAGTCTTGTGTCATTTGTTTTGTCTTGAAGCTCGGTAAGAACTTCACGTATTGCGCGGGGAAAAGTTCAACTGCTATCTGGCTTACACGTTTTTCACTCAGTGGTCTATTTTGTCGTCATGTTTTCAGAATCCTCTAGAGAATATACCGTAAAATTGTCGGTTACTGTTTGTAATTAACGTTTTTGACCTTTTTCATTTTCTTTTTTAGGTATCGATGATCTTAGAAAATATTTATATTTTTCGAAATAACGCTTCTAATTGCTGCACCTTTTGTTTTAAAGGCCACAATGGAGGCTTGCATGATTGCTATCAGAAAGCTGCTTATACAAATACTTGGTATATTTCAATACCTTGGTATTTCAGCAATTTATAACTATGAAAATCTCTACCTACTCGTGATATAAACATAGTTGAGCATGATAAATGACATAGTTTGCAGCTTAACTATTATTTAGCTCCTGTTAAAAAGGGAAAATATCGTGAAAATTTGAAATGGAAAAAATCGAACCAACTATTAAATTTACATCAAATAGCCAGGTGTTCATACATACGATATGTACTCGTGCAACCAAGGGCCGTATTTTACCCGCTCCAGCTCTATTACGTCGAGTTTTATTCATACATTGAAAATAATTAACCTGCACTTCGAGTCTCGTTGTACTCATGAGGACATACATCGTATAGAATATTTCATTAAAGTTAACATTAGCGAGTTCTCGTATAGACCCATTCGGAATTTCTACCTGAAAATCGATCACTTTACCTGCGTTGACTCTACTCTATTTTCGAATTTTTCTTTTTTTTTTCTGGCTGCGGTGAAGTGAGATTCACATTGCTACCATTTGTCGGTGTGCGTTCGTCCCACACCAACGAAGAGCGTTCGGCGGTGAGAAATGTCTGCACGGTACTGCCGTGCAATGGCGGGCCTCTTCCCAGGGCAAAAACCCAGGACGGCAGGAAGGATGGACTTAAAGCAGCAAATCAGCACACATCCAGCGTTTGCGTTGATTTGGATGTTAGGTCGCCCTAGCAGATTGCGGGAACCAACCTTTGAACATAGATATAAACCCACGGGAATTTTTGAGACCCTAACAATTTGTTTTTGAAATGTCTTTAGAATTTTCTTCTGGTGCGAGCAAGGTGTCCACGCACATAAGCATGCCTCAAAAGAACTTAATTTGCTTCTTGAAGGAGCTCAAAACTTATAAGGTAATGATCTTCAGTATCGGAAAAAATTTATACTCCTCCAATTGATTAGGTTCATGCATGGTTTTAATTAAGGAATACACATTTAATTGCATGCGTGTCTGAAGAACATCCTTCAGGTAATCAATTGTTATCTTTTTTGAAACATGATTTGATCTTGGTCTCATTTGTCATCATTTGTTAATCTCATTGCAGTTGGCCAATTGCAAGGACCAGGTGCAATAATTCTCAGGTGAAGTTAAAAATTTTGTTTGCGTACATCAAAATTTAATTTGAACTGAAACGGTTTAATCTTCGGCTTTATTAAAATTCAGAAAGAAACCGATTTAAATTTTAATAATTCGGTTTGCTAGCAAGCCCAGTTTTTTTAGTCAACACGCTATAAGTGTTACAAAAATTGTGTACACTGCATATCGCACCTATGCACTGCGATAAAAAGTTCTTTGTAATAAAATAATAAACAACAAATAATAATACAGCAATAAAAACGCATCTACATGTACATGTACTTTGGATGAACTTGCTTTACTTTTGCAGAGGTGATGCACGGCATCACCTTCGTCATGAGATCCTCGCTAAAAATTTCCTTCCTCAAAATGAGTATACATTTCTTGACCAGTCTGGGCCCCGCGACCGAGGTCTGCTTGTCTCACTTTATCTTTTGGACGAAGATGACAGCGTCACCAACTTCTTCCTCGTTCTGTCATCAACAGGTTTAAATCAATGAAGATTGATGACCGTGTCCGTGGATGGAACGGCCTGTTGACATGGTTTCGATTAGGCGTATTGTCGGACGTCGTCTGACTTGCACATTCTTTATACTTCGCCAAGAAAACAGCGAACTTTTAATGACGGATCATCGGGCTTCCGTGATTAGATGTTTATGGGAGACGTGACAAACTTTACTTTCATCGTTTAATAGTATTTACTCGAACGGCTTGGGATTTTCCACAGATTGTTCTGAACTCAACGTCATAGTTGTCACGCCATATGTTGTGCGACGTACTCCTAATGAAAGTATGCGCGAGTAATGATCACATTGACTTCAGCATAAAATATGATGTGCAAATCTCTGGCTTAATTTTTCTATGTTCATGCATCCTGTTTACGATTTTGATTTTATTGGAGCATTTTGAATTTTTGTGCATGTAACCATGTATCAATATGAGCATTTACATACATTTATTTGATTTTACATTTTCTCGTGGGTTTTGTTTATTCTTATCAATGTTCAAGTGGTGTGGAAAATTTTCTGTTCTTAGGAAAATATTATCTAGCGCTGCGATTAGATCCTCTGCGAACACGCTGAGAACTCCGGCGCCAAGTTCTGATATTCAGCACTCGTAGTGAGAATATATGTACAGTTCTTACCACCCTATATTCTTCTTATGATGTATATATACACCTAGTTACGTTTCTTTTGACCATCGTCTTGCTGGATAAACTCGATCGTAGCATGAAAATTATACGGCTATGGCATCAGTATCACCACGCTTTTCCTCCTGTTAGCTTTATAACATTCCACTACGTCACTCTTGGTCTTCAATAAGACGTGATGAAGGCTCCTATGATATTCTTTATATGAACATCTCTGTGCATGCTTCCATCATGAGCCGTCGATGTCCGGCTCGCCACATGAGGCCCTCTTGCTCCGTGCTGGTCCATAGGCCTAACTTGTGAGCACCGAGAAAATGATGCATCACTCTCCTGGCTGTGATCTATTGGCAAGTGTCTCTTGATGGTCTTCAAAGGCCTTTTGAAGTTGTAATGGAGAGGCCGAGAAAGAGTTGAACGATCACTGCTATATTTCAGCTCTCCATGCTCGCTGCCTAAGACTCATCGCCACACTATAAGAATTTCGCAAGAAATTTATTTAAAGGTTTTCATTTTTACTTTCTCTAAAGCCTTGAGCCGGATATTAATTCTGTTCTGAGCGATTAGAAAGAGGCATCATTAATGATTTGGTAAGCTTAACGTGAGCTCGTGCCGACTTAATGAAGGAAAATGATTTTTTTAATCTCTGGTGCCTTTTCACCGTGAGTGCCATAGCGTTCGTTGAACTAAGAACTCTCCCAACTTCTATGTTGGGAGATTGATCTATCAATCTTCTAGCTGTATGATTGATATGTGCACGTTATGATAGCATACGCATAGATTAATAGTGGATGATTAACTTTGATTTGATGTACGGAGACATATTAATGTACCGATGAACACATTTTCATGCAAACAATTTGGCTACCTAATATTAACTCTCGGTAGGCCAAGACACACTGAAATGGAACAAAACTGTTGTAACGAAAGTTCATAGCCAAGTTCTCCTTCATTAGGTCACGTAGAAGTAGATTTTATGCAATCCCACGTCTAAATCACTGTTGCTGGATTCATATTCAGCATCATAACTCGAGAAAGCACCTACACTTTCAGAGCCTCTTAGTATCGACAGGTCAAGGATGTCTTCGACTGTATCAGCCCGATGGTTCATTCCCCAATTTTATTGCATACCGTGAAATGACAGTGTCGACTGACAGGTCTGTGCACAGGTCTTTGTTGCGCAGGGTAATGAGTGTCACGATTATGGTAAAAATGTTCGCGCAGCGACCAACTTGCATCAATGAAATATGGCCATTCTACCACGCGGTTAAGGTTGTTCTTCTGCGTTCATTCACTTTTGACCCACTTGAATAATTCAAATCGATACGAATCTTGTTGAGATTTGTCATAGAATATTGGCGGAAAATGTTTTGGGTATTCTAAATCTTTCGAATCGCGGAGAATTGCTCGGACTAAATTTCGAATAGTGGCTTGCACTCCTTTGAAACGACTTGTGAAGTGTGATAGATGTTACCGATTAGCCATTATGAAAATTCTATCTTCATGACATTATTTCGTTTGATTAAGAAGCGATATGATGAACTGAAGTGAAAGAGTTTCTCTGAAACTCTCAGTCAATATTTATGCCTCTGATCTAAAACTTCATCACACGACGCATTAAATTTGCGTTTATGAAAAGCTAATCGCTATACGAGGTTCCGTGAAATAGACGCAAGTGCTTTCCTCCTACTCGTCCATTCCAATTGTTGCGAAATTCTTCTCGAGAATTTGCGCTCTTCTGCATCGCCGAAGTCACTGCAGGTGGGCTTGAATAAGCCGGAGCTTATGCACGAATTGAAACGACAAAATTTTCTCAGGCTCAACAAAAGAGCTGGAGTGTTAACGCTTGTGACGGCCGTGCTCCTGCCTTGTGACGGGAAAGTCCTCGCATGCATATAGAGAACAATGGCCTGTTTCCTAGCAAAGAATTGCGGGAGGAGTTTAGTTCGCTGTGTTCTCAACTGTTGTTAGCTTGTCCATGATAGTCATTTGATGAGTCAATAACAATGCGGTGGATTTTTGCGGCTGTGAATCATTGTAAGCCCGAATTCTTGTTTTTTGCTAAAGATATGGGTGACATGTTTTTATAGATTTTTTATAAATTTGTTATTTTGGAAAAGCGGCGCCGGGGGTGAGCAGCATTAACATTATTTCCATTAATTGGATTTTAGACGCATTTAACAACGGCGCTTGTGCTCGCACGCTAAGCTACACCGCATGCCTTTGATATTTGGTAACGCTCAAGAACAGATTTATTTTAATTTTCATATCGTTAGTACTCTGTTCCATAACCATCAGATTTTCTCAAATATGATGCGGAGTTTCATGGAACGTTTCTTTCTTTGCATGTCGTGTAAATTACTATATTGTCTGATGTTTTTAACTTTTTACTTTCTTCTTTGCAGAGTAAACAGCAGAGAAAAGTCCAAAACGTACACCTCCGTCTACAACTCCCCTGACGAACTCAGCTCAGATCCCCTTAACAATCCTCGCACTCCAACTCATGGTGCTGCTCTTCCAATCACTGCTGCCTCTAGGACCGATTTCTCTGGAAATCCTAGTGACGGATCCGCTTTTGACGAAACTGAAAGTCAGAGAAATCCTGTGCTTCGACATCCTTCTCTCAGCAGCTTAGCTAATTTCGCTGACTCATTGGTCGCAACCAGTGGGGCTTCTCAGCACAGCATCAATAGATTGTCACCAGAAGAACACCAGCCAGAAAATTCTGACCAAGAGTACACCGTCCTTCCAGAGGCCGCTTCTTGTGGACTTGAGCCAGCTTCCAGTCAGTCGTCGCTTACGCAAGATGAACAAGGTCCTCCGAGGCCACCCTTACCTGCCAAGAAGTCCGCTCTGAGCAGCGGGTCTTCGCTCACCAGGTACGATTCTTTTTAGTTATTGCGTATCAAACTGTGGGTTCTTATTTCAAAGAGCTCTGAAGTCCGAAAATGTATATCATTCCTAATTTCAGTGTAACCTCATTGCTTTGCAGGCAATATTGATCAACTTGGTGTCGGAAGTTTTGAACATATAGTTGTGTAATGAAAAACGATTACCACCCTTCTTTTGCGCTCAAATGCTTTTCGTAGGACGCTGAAAATTTCCCAGTGCATCAAATTCGAACATTTTGGATTAATTAACTACTAATAGTACTACTGCTGAACATTATATTGATTCTCATCTCTCACTGATTCTTTGAGTATATAGTATTATAGGTATTTTGTTTTGTATTTTCAATGTTGTATTGCGTTGAATCTTGTTGTTGGTTCGATGAACTTTGTGGAAATATAATACCGTTGATCGATGGACAGGCGAAGCCATAGTTCATCACTATCTTCCATGCTTTCGAGGATCCTGTTCATGCGATTTTTTTCTTCCTCGAGTTTTCTGTTACATTTTGCCGGATGTTGTCTTGTGTCGGCCGAGAATTTCCTGTCATGAAACTGGTCTCGCTGCCTACCTGCATCGTTATTCGCTCCAAGACAGCCGAGCCCTGCTGCTTTTTTAGGCGAAATTTTGTGCTTTATTAGCAGTAGAATTATCGGGATTCTATCTGTGTATAGGTTTCATGTACCAAGTTGCATAATCTGATGTTTCATCTTTTATGTAACCAGATATCGTTACATGCATGAATTAAAGTTCAAGTTGATTTATTTTTCATCACATTTGAAAATGGGTTCATACATCATTCATAATGGCTTCATACATCAGCAAAGAAGTGCAATTAAGGCACTATTCGAAAAGATGACTCAATCAAAAGATGAATCATCGATGATGATGATGATAAAATGTCAAATTAACTTGCATAGCATTTACCTTAAATATAACTGAAATAGTTCTTATAGTGTTTGATGTGGAGGTCTTCTTGTAAATGAATTTCTATTCAGTCTTAACATGCATTATGACTGCACGGAGCATTCGTGCATTCGAACCAAGTGCATCTAAATTACGCTAAATATTGAGAAAACAATTCAAAAGTCTTGCAAATAATTCAGTGTGTATCGTGTCTAAGCCAACGAGTAATATTGATCGCTTTGTTTTCCCCTTGAAATGTTTCAATGTTTATGCTGAGAAAGTTTTCCTGGGAATGGCGACCCCTGTTGTGAATTCCAGTTAGTTTTTGCGCAGTTAAAACGGTCTCATTTGTTTCTTTATCTTCGGAGTGCAGTTATAATGGAGCGACCGGTCTCGACTGAATCTCATATCGCAGATCAACGTCGCGACGTCGCAGCACGACTGCCGCGGCGTAGGCTGCAAGTTTACCGACCGTCTCACGAACGGTTTCCGTAGTTTCACTTTTCTGCTCACAATTACCGCTTTGTTTTCTAATAAATTTTCTTAGTGACTTTGAGGGTCTCATTATCGAGTTCCCTTGATGTTATAGTTGTCGAGTACTCACGCCCCAACTCTGGAAATTGCAAGGTCCAATCCTCGCACAAAAATCGTGCACCCTAGAAAATGTGACCCGCGACATCGTCGCGTATCGTCATTTTCCGTTGTAGCTCTTATGGCTACATGGCAGAATGCAGTTCCCATGCTCAGCTACGGAATAGCTTCGAGCTCTCGTCAACATGCAGTTGCTGTGAGTTCGTCATTAATGCATTTCATGTAGTGTGATGTCACTCCATAATTACTATACGTGTACTGCGATGTCACTCCGCCTGCGAATCAACGTCTACCACGGTTTTTCACGTGTACTTTTCGAAACAATTTATTTTAGTTGCCGTCTGCACGAGATGTGGTAAGAAATTAAGGCTGAAATTAAAGGTTGGGCTTCGCCAAATTTTGCAAACCGGATGCTTTCAGATTTCAGTGACAGATCTTAGTAGGCTCTGCCATGTTTGTTAGATATCCAAACTTGTGAAGTTTGAGCACAATCTTTGTGATGTTTTCGAATAGCACGCGCATGCTAGTTTTCCCGTTCGAACTATGGTGGTAGATTCCTGCTTAAAAATGAAATTGACAACGTAATGGAATCAACGTTTGTTCCTACAATTTTCTCAAATTTAAAACTATAGGTACGGAACTGTTGCGTATATGTAAATAGTACCTACTATTTTGAAACTTGTTCGTTCATAAGATTTCATTTCTCCTATTTTGTTGAAACGATCCAAAGGACATAGTTTGTGGAGGTACAAACAACTTGAGTTATTGAAACGCTGGTGTATTGCACATTGTCACACGTAATTATGAGTACAGGAAGCCACTTGCTAACTTGATTGCCCCCTCATTGACACTGAGAGCGACTTTCACGAGCTTACTCAATCTTTCCGACTCTTCCTCTCGTTCGTTCGTGAGCTCATAAGTGTGCGAAGGTTACTCATGGAGGACGACCGCATGCAAGAGTAATTTATTTATCGATAATATTTTTCGCACTTCTAATTTTCTGCTACGAAAAAAGATCTCTCGCTGTGTCTATCGCTATAACACCATTGATGTTTTCGCTCCTAAAAATATTTTCAATCACTCAGAAGGGATTTGTCGAATAATTTATTGGTTTATTCTATCATGAGAAAAATTTTTAAATTTTTTGTTTACGTTGTTCTCGACTCCGTACATCAATTCCTGCAGTCATATTTTGTGGACTTCCACCTTGGTATATTTCAATACCTTGATATTTCAACAATTTATAACTATGATAATCTTTACTCATGATATCAACATCGTTGAGCATGATTGATGACATAGTTTACAGCTTTTAACTAGCATTTAGCTCCTGTTAAATAGAAACTGAAAAATCAGTTATGCTGCCGCAACACATTTCTTTTAGTCTTATCCAGTCACTTACTCGCACTAATGATTTTGATTTTTAGAAATTCTAATGAATTAGAGCGGCTAATAATTGAATTTTATTTTTCCCTTCCATTCTCCAACCAGCCATGGAATGCTCGTTTGTTCCTTCTGATTTTCATTATATCATCGATGATGATCTTGATGATGTTAGAAAACTATTCTTTGTACTTTTGATTTCCGTTCCAAATTTGTGGAGAAACTTTTAACAATTGATATCGAAGCTATTTTTATTTTTGGTGCTTTTTTTCTTGTGGAGATCGGAAACTTAGAAGTGGCTCATCATTCAAATAGCGCATTTTTATTGTAATTTACTAACATTATCCGCCGTATTGATGAGGTGAATTTAGCAACTATTTATGATGTGAATTTCCAATTAATGGGCGGTGTGCTGCACAAAGATGTGCGACTCTGTTTCTGAAAGTATATATCGTCATTTATGCGAACGCGGGTCTGTTGTTCTAGGTAGCTGAAAGCTCGGTGAACTTGTAAGTCTTTTCTTTAAACTCAAAGTCTGGACCCCTGTTACGCTCGCTGCGTTATATTGGAAAACCAATGCTTTACTACCTCACTGTTTATGGAATATGAATTCTTAGCATTCTATATTTTTGTTTATGGTCTAAAACTAGATTTGTAAACCAACAGCATTCGGTTTAGAATGCAATCATTGATAATTTATATTATTTCTTGCAGGTCGACACCAAACCTTGATGAAGGGAAACATGGCAGCATGGTGACCAAAACATTGCCGATGTATTCCTACTTGCACAATGGCTCCTCACACACCCCAAGGAACAACTCCAGCTCTTCAAAAATGACGTCTGGCCGCTACTGGGAGGGTGGTGGTCAGCCGGACACTCCAGGCCGAGAAGATTACGCCCATCACTTACGATCTTCATCGTATCAAGTTCTCCATTCACAGCAGCAGCAACAACAGTTCAGTTCTGCTCCATCGTCTTCTACGTATCACACGCGTCAGCATTCTAATCCATCAACTTATCCTGAAGCAGACGACCGTAATTCCAGACTTGACCCGAGACAAATCGCCAGCAATTATTCATCTCAATATTATGGGTGCGATCGATCTCGTTATTTTTCTTACGATAGCATTGGTCCAGAAAACGGTAGTCAAAAGTATCCAAATTCATGGAATGTTTCTGAACCGGATCTATCAGTTTCCAACAGTCATCCATCCCAGAATTATCTTTATCACAGTTCATCTCATAATTCCTATAGTTCGTATTCTTCTCCAGACCATCAAAGTAACCGCAAGAATAGTTCTCCTAGCCTTAATAAATCTGTTAATCGAAGTAGTTCCTCGAGTTTCCATTCAAGCACAGCGAGTGGCTCCTACCACTCGCAAGTCCAACCACCACTTCCTTCCTCAACTGCCAAAAATACTTCTTCACCGCCACCTCCTCCCGTCAGAGATGCATCAAGTTTAAAGTACATAAAGTATGGACCAGGTCACGAGAAATTTCCTTCATGGCCTGTGCCTGCTGGTTCTGCTAGCCAGGTGATGAACTCGTGTTCTGACCACGAAAATTCATCACAAAACATCTCGGAATCCATTACTGGTCCCCAGGGATCCCACAGATCAAAATCGTGGACTGAACAATCTGACTATCCTAAAGATACCAGTGGCGGGTACACTCGCCCTCACCACAAAAAACAGCTGACTGCTGCTTATCAACAGCAGTTGAAAACTGTCATGGAAAAGTGTGAAAGAATTCCTCCTCAAGTGTTTGAATCAAAGCTCGGAGATGATTTGATGTCCAACCCTAACTGCTCTCTAATAGATTCTTTCTATCCGTCGAATTCTTCATATTATCCTCTATACGATAGAGATGGGAACGGAATCGATGACAAGGACTACAATATTCCGTCTCCACCAGAGCGAGATTCAGGCCCTGGTTTAGGCGAACCTAATGTGAGCCAATTGACCGCAGCCCAGCTGGAGGAATATGCTCGGCATTACGACTACTCGTGCACTGAGATGATGGGGGTAACTCCTTTCTTGGATCGACTACGAGAAGAATCAGCAGGATGGGAAGGTGCTTCTGAGCGAGACTCAGGAAGAGGCGAAAGCGAAAGCATGACTGATTCCTTCCGCTACAGTAACGGCCGTGAAAGCGTCACTACAGTTGTTACAAATTCTTCTTCGGCGTCTTCTTCGGAAACTTTGAAATGGCATGGATCATTATCTGACATTTCTCTCATTTCTGGTCATTCTCGGGACATCCGCGCTGAGCAGAATATCGCTCATAGCTCGAGGGTTATGGCGCCGCAGCGACACAACAGTGAATCAGTTCTTTACTATGGATCTGAAAAATCCAAAAAGTCAATGAAAACTAGTGTTGATCACCGAGGAAATAGTAGTAATAAAATTATGAGAGACTCAGAAACTGGTTTCCCGAGAGCGTCCAGAGATAGATGGAATAGAGAAGTAGAAAGGAACAATGAAGTGAACAATCTCAAGAAATTTCCTTCCTATTCTTACTCACAGCCTTTGTCTCAAATCAACGAAGCTCCGGCAGCTGAGTCTCACGAGAACAATTCCTCTCTTCAAGCCAAGAGTCCGACGATAGACGTGAGCAAGCCTCCGTCTGTCGCCGAGAGGATAAATGAACTAGAGCGGCAATCGCGAAATCCGGTGCGTGAGCCGCTGCAGCGATACAGAGACGCAAGTGAACCCAGAGAACGAACCGAGTCGCGCAGTACCCGTGAACTGCGGCGAAGAGACATGAGTGAGCCCAGAAAAGAGTACAGAGATGAAATAGAATCGGAAACTGATAACGATCAGAATAATTATCCTGATCTAGGATACTCGACTCCTGATCCAGACCGTTTGCAAAAAGAAGTTGGCCACGAATCCGTGCCAGATTCGACATTAGAAAATGTTTCAGTTGATCTTCTGAAAGACGTAGTCCCATACAGAACAAATTCGATGTCTGCTAGGGTAGAACGAAGTATGAGTGACCAAGAAAATATACCTGTATCAAACATTTCGACTTTGGAGGTAGACAGGACAGCTCCGTTGAAAAACTTTGCTTACTTGGATCCCAAGAAGCAGTGTAAAGTTCCCGAGCCAACCCTGAAAAACATTCAAAAGCAAGCCTTGATGTCTTTCTACGTGAGAAAAACAAGCTCTTCGTCGCTAAGCGAGCATGGCTCTCCATTTGGCAAGCCGCCTGCACCTCTTGTGTCAAAGAATTCCTTCAGCTCACGTGGTCATGTCAGAGAGGACCGGTCAGGTTTGGCTGGAATAAGTCTGGCTCGTCTTGGCAGGGTACCGGACAGTAGTGACAAAGACTTCCCTTCAAGACCCCCACGCAAGCGATCAGTTAACGGACGGTCTGACTTAGATGAGCATAGCGCTCGTCGGGAGAGTTTGGAGACCGAGCGATCGCGGTCAGGCTCCGAGGCTGGCGGGAACAATTCGTCTGCCCAGAATGTGAGTACCCGGTTAAGGTCGATGCACTTTCATGGTTCTTATGGTACTATGGCGTTTCAACGGCTTATTGAGCAAAAATATTTGTTGTATATACTGATATGCATTCTAATTAATTTCGTAAATATTTTGTGCGTTCGTTTTGCATTGATTGTCAACTATAATATTCGTATACTGTCCCTGTTTCTGCCATCAGAAACATTTGCTACTTTGATTTGCATTGATGTTACTTCTACTAGCTAATCTGTTCTTTTTTGTTGCAAACTTCAAGGTATTAATAACTTTTTTATTAGACCCACTTCCGCTCTCGTTTATTGTTTTCCACCGACAGGCTGTCTTTATCCTTGTCTCTACAGACAACACGTTTTCGCATTCACTAACAATAGCTTCTAGTAAGGATGACCCTAAATGACTTCCACGTCGCCCATCGTTAGCTGCCTCCATATAATTAGTCTGGTCGCCAGCAGGCTCAGATGAAACATTTTATTACTTAGCTCGCTTCAAATAATAAGCTCCCCTTTATGCCTACACTTGTGATAACCCTTGTTGGTTATAAAATTCTTAAGCATTCCGGTATTTGTGGGACCTCTTTTACCTCTCATGTGCGCCTACGAGGCGAAATAAGAAATTATCAATAAAATCATTATTGATTGCGATTTGCAATTTAACAAATCATCTTGTTATGTAGTTCTCTGAACTGGCGAATTTGCCTTTAATAGCTACATAACAATTTTGCATGCGCTCGTTTGTTCAAAAACACGTCGCGTCGCTGAGTCGCGTCTATGTTCCGGTCTGCAACTCGTTGTTTTTACATTGACTGTATTAAGAGACTCGAACTGCATGTGATGATGACAGAAATTGTTTCAAATTTATTTTTTTTTCAAAACTCCCCGTCAATTCTATCTAAATCTTGATGCTCGTCTTCATAAAGACAGTGTATTTTTTGTATTAGATACATTTCCTATTGACTTATTGGGCTTGGTTATGCTGGGTAACGATGTAATTAAAAGCCAGAACCAACAAGAACATTTTTTTGTACCGATCTCTCGCCTGATTGATATTTTTGTCTTAATTAATTATTCTAATATATTTTCGTCAGTGTACTTTGGGTTTAATTAGATTTGCATTTGAAAACTTTTTCTCTACGTCTTCACTCGACTTTTTTAGTTTATATAATTTATTGCGTTCAATTGCCTCTCTTTTGGACTCTTGATCAACCGAATGGTGTTATTCGAGCCTCATGATGAGGCGATAAAATATCTTGAATTCTACAGTGTGATTTAATAACAGACGTACTAATAACGTCCGGCATTCCTGAGATGCCGGAAATTTCGACCGAAGTTGTTGGTGTGGAACATAGCTCCGCAGGATAGGTTTTAATAATGTGGCTTTCAGCAGCCTCAACAGTCTTCTCCTAGTCAGCTGGAATTGTAGCGTGGAGATTGTTAACAGTTGAAAGAACTTTAACATCGTTCGAGTTATTTTCTGTATTTTCTTGTATTTATTTCATTTTAATTACTGTGTTGGTTGCAAAAAATTTCTCTGCTTCAATATTTGTGCGAACATAATCCTCCGTGTGCCGGATAAGTGATTACCTGACATGTTATTGGCTTGAGTGCCAACGAATGCCAGTTGTGTATGAGCGATGTCCTCATATATCTTACAGCGAGAATAAAGAACTCGACTGGTTGTTGGTTTTTATTGCGGTTGCGACGATGTAGCCATGAACAAGATGCCTTCCCAAACAAAGAAACCAATTAGAGTGCGAGACCTGACGCGTCTTGCACTCGCCCATACAAGTCATGCTGAGCGCAGCTGCCTATATGAGGTGGCGTGCGCTTTTTAAAGAATACCCGAACGCGACGATCCGTTAGAGGAATTACGTTTCTCGATAAATAGTACATTACTTTAAATTGAAGAGTGTTCACTGATGTTCATGTATGCCGACTAAATGACAATGTTGAATAAGAGCATGTGAAACGAAAATGGACTTCGACTTAATTTTTAAGTTACTCGCTCATTTACCTGCAAGTTGATCGATTAATGCGATAGTAACTAGTAGATTTGCGTGTTGAAATCTTTAGGGAATAAAACATTAAGTACATGTTTTTTTTTACGTACATGTTTTTTAACGGCAATAAGTTTTTAAATTATTGCCGTTAGAAAAGACAATACTATCCACTGTAGTTCAGTGTCTTGAGAATTCTACAATTATTTCAAGGTTTATTCTACAATCGTTTACCTTGTTATTCACTAATATTATACCTATTCTATTAGCCTAACCCCATGTTGCTCAGAAAATAATCCCTCTGATTTGAAGATCCCTTTATCCCGAGTCTCGTGGCTAACATTCAAACTAATGTCATGATAATAATAGAATGTCTCGTTCAAACCATCCAATAACACAAAATTCCCTTTCAGCTCCCATTTCGAAGTTTTAAGTACACTTGAATTTGTATCATTATACCATAATTAGGTCTCTGAAACTGAAACGAAATGTAAAGTTTTAATTACAAACCATTTCCGTGATGCCTCGCGATTCCCCTGATAAAATTCAGATCCCGCTAATATCTCGACACGACAGGCATCGTTCATTAATACCAGACTACCTCGATCTTGTGCACTCACAGCACCAGTCTTCAGAGATACACGAAGCTTCACAAATGGCTATAGAAATTCTCGTATACATCCTCGCATGAAAATTCTTTATCAGTTAATGTTGGTGTGCTTTCAGTCGGATGCATTCTTGAAACTATCTATACGTTGATCGGCTTTTAAGTGGATGGATTATCTATAGGACGGGTTTCTATTAATTTCGAGACATTCCGTTGTAAAAATTGGAACATTTTTTTATGCCGGAGAAGATTGTATTTTAATAAGATAATCTTTCTGATTGGCTAGGTATCTGAAGCACTACTCGGAAAGTCGAAGTTATTTGTGTAATTAATTAATACAAAAGTAATTTTAACTCAAACACTCGCCGTTCTTCACATTGGAGCAAATAGATTTAAAAAGTTACTGAGTTTTATTACTCGTGCAGAACTTGATAGCGATCTGCTGGTAACTCAATTCTTGATTTGTTTCTCTTTATCTGTTGCTCAATCTGAACGGACTACATTATTATTTGCAGTCTAATTTTTATTCTTGACTGTAAGGCAAGGTCTCAAGTAAGATGAAAATATTTGTAGGCACACTTCCAATTAACTTCCTCTTTGATCAAACTACCCAGCGGAAATATGTCGTTACACATTTTCAGGAGACCATTCCATATGTTGTAGGAAATAGCTCTTTGCTAATACTCCATATTTATTAGAAGTTTTTACCGTATAGTATACAGGATGATCTTTAGAGCAAGCCACGCAAGCTGCCGTGCCGCGATATTCATGTCTGTCTCTACCGTCTTAGACTCTCGTGGGCAGTCGTCCTGAGACCGGTTCAGCGAGCTTAACGTCCTTTTTCTTCTTCTAGTTATTTGCTTGGTGTTTTTTTTAAGCGTTGCCAACGCGTCTCATCGCTGTATAATAGAACTGTTTCGAGCGGCTAGTGAACGGGCGCCATGTGCAGTATTGAGCTGCGGTGCCTCGACCTGTTTCTATAGCGTTATATTTTGGGCTTATAAGTTATTCGGAAACGAATAACCTTATTGAGCTTAATTGCAATGCTTGCTACTGTAGATAATAATCGAAGAGGGTATAATAATGCGTAGTTTGATCTGCGAATTACTCGAAAATTTTAAGAGTTGCTGCGATCAGTTTGAAGTTTTTGCACTGCCTATAGCACGGGATGGGGATCTTGGGCTACGTCTGATTTGAGTCATTTGACTTTGCCTTTTATTATATACAGCTACGATAGGTAGGCATTGTGGTTAGGAATATCTTATTATGGAAGGAGGTTAGGAATATCACTCTGTAATAATTTAGTTTCATTGTAGATTGAGTTGACAAAGCATCTTTAACTTATTAGTATTAACTGAACTCTTGTGCATCTCTTCTTGAGTTACGGTTATGATTTCACTTGCAATTTAAGTCGAATACTTTTAGGCTCAATTTTTACGTGGGATCTTTTTCACTCAAATCGATCTATGATCCGTAAATAGCGCAACGTGGGTAATAATTATGATGTGGATTGCGAATAAAAATAATTTATGCACTCGATTATTTCATTTAGTAAGTTACGTTGCCAGGAAAAAGGTTCTGCATGAGAGTTCAGCTATTTTTTGGCGATGATAATAGTTCGCCTTATATAGACCAGACATGATTTTATGTATAGGCGATACGTGTTCGAATGTCAGGTTCATGATCATGCAAAACTGAATCAAGGTCGACTGGTGATCCAGCACTGCGGCCGCTCCTCTTCAAACTGCGCCTAGAGAACTCATTTTGCCTCGGCGTCTTGGCGTGATTACATTTCCATGAAGCCTTTTGATGCTGTAAAGTGGAGGGCATAACCTTTGTTGTCACTCACTGCATATTTTCTCGAGAACAAAGCTCTATTTTTGCACTCGACGTATGAAATTATTACAGCTGAACTTTCCGGGAATAAGATGGATGTTTCCTAGCCATCGAAATGTCTGAATAATTAGCTGACGCTGGTCGCAGGCTAAATTCACAATCTGAGTTCGAATTCCATTTTCGATCAAAAATGTATTGCTTGATTCCTAGAAAAGTACTTCGAAGCTTTAACTATTTTTCCTTGAAGGCCGAGCCCAGTATCTGTGTATTTCTCTGCAACCTTATTATCACACTTGTTGAAATCGTTTTTGAGGTTTCCTTGAACTTCAAGTTTACTTCAATTTCAACTTGATTGAGTTTCATGTATGCGATGACTGGCATAACTGGTGATGCAGTTTACCTCAGCTTCGACATCTGATTAATTTTTCCGAATGAATTACAGTAGAGACCCGCCTTACGTGCTGGAACTTGGTTTCGTTCTTAAAGCTTACTTAATTTCCAATTAAAATTAATGGAAAAGACGCACATCCGTGTCGAACATCCCCAAAATTC